AGCGCCGCAAGGAGTGACCAGGAACAACGGTCACAAGCTGGCGGAGGGAAGGTTTAAGTTGGACATCAGGAGGCACTACTTCACGGTCAGGGCGGCTAGGGTCTGGAACCAGCTTCCAAGAGAGGTGGTGCAGGCTCCCACCCTGGGGGTTTTTAAGAGGAGGTTGGATGACCACCTTACTGGGGTCGTTTGACCCCAGTACTCTTTCCTGCCGTGGCAGGGGGTCGGACTAGATGATCTGCTCAGGTCCCTTCCGACCCTAGAAACTATGAAACTACGAAATGTTTGATTACACAGTTACTTTTGTCCTTGGTAATAGGCATCCCAATCAGCCTGACTCATTGACTTCATGGTTTCTGTGCACTAATATATTTTTCATCCCAATAGATGGAAAGAGGGACAACATCACAGTTTCCTTGATCGAAAATAACTCCAGTGAGTGGTGGATCTTGAATCAGGTTGGAAAGAGATCTAAAACACCTAGACCCAGCCTTGAACTCTTTGTATTCAGTGACAAAGTTAGCCCACCCAGTCTTGGATTCCTAGCTGGCTATGGGTAAGCAATAACCTTTTAGATAAAACAATAGCCTTGGTTATCAAAACTAATTAGAGGTGAATTTACAACTTTAATGGCTGTGTCCCAGAATATGGGGGCCTGCATTTCTCTTGTAACATTTGAAACTGCCGTAAATATCTTGAAGAAAAGATCCACACTTTAAGGTGAAATCAGAACCTAGCACATAGGTACTACAGATGGTATAATGTCTGTAGATTTTACTCATTCTACTTTAAAATAGGGCTGTCATTCTTAATTATAAACTGCTGCAAAAATGTGAACCCCATCTCTTCTCAGGAAGAGAAGGCATTAGTCTCCTATATCCAAAATTCACATGCAGAAGGTCAGCTTTGGGAAGGTCCCATGTCATAATCCCCAACCTCATCTCAGTAGAGAATCCTCTACATAACTGAGAAACTACAGATGAGATGAAACAGGGCCAAGGGCAAAGGGAGAACACATATTATCTTCCCCCACAACCCCACAGACAACTGATTATAGTCTGAGGCTTTCCTGCTGAGCTCCTCCACATTGTAGGACCAATTGAAGAAGAACCTCCACCAGAGGAAAAAGTATTGGCACAACTGCATTGATATCACAAGAAAAGGCAGGAGACCCTGGGCCTATTAGAGAGGTACAGATGACCTCCAATCTCCTTACTGACCATTATTTCAGGGTGATGTCATTTCTGGGTGGAGAAACCCTCTCCTTTCTGCAGGGAAGCAAACCATCATCCCTTTCTCCTGCTGAGTTGCTGATTTGGCAATTTCCCTTGGAAGGATTCCCACAGTAGGTGGGATTGTGGCTCCCCTTGACTTTATGGCAGCTTGTACACGTGATGGAGTTTAGTTCTCTCTGAAGTGAAATGGTGGGTTTTTAATTGTGTCGATGAAAAACCCACTGTTTCAAGTTAGAGACTTCCATCACGTCACAGTGATGGCCTCCATCAGCTCACCCACCTCCCCCCTCCACCCGCTGATGTGGGCAGGCTCCACCAGGAAAAAAAAAAAGCCTTTTTTTCCCCTCAGAGCTTGCCCACCTCTCCCGTGGCTGGGGGCAAGCTGCCAGCAGGCCCCGAGCTGCAGGGGGCACCAGTCCTTCTGTCCAAAGCAGCAGCGCCCTCCAGGCAGCACCCACCTCCTAGCCGCTCACCTGGGTGATCCCAGGAGCTTTTTCCGGCGTGGAGGGAAGGACCAGGGGGCTCCACAGCTCAGGGACTATTTGGCTCGTCAGCACCGTGTTCCCTGGCCGTGGGAGATGTGGGCAGGCTCCAGAACCAAAAAAAAGGATCAGGACCTCCCCACTTTTTTCTGTTTTTTTTCTCAGTGGAGCCTGCCTGCACAAGCTGCCGCCAGGTTGCACAGCCCCTGAGCTGCAGGGAGGCATGGCCCTTCCCTCCTCAGTGGTGGCGCCCCCCAGGATCGCCTGGGCAGGGTGTTAGCAGGCAGGTGCCACCTGTGGGGCGCCGCCCCCATGAAGGGAAGGTCTGGGGTTCCCTGCAGCTTGGGCCACTAGCAGCTCACCTCCCCTTCCCCCC